TTGATGTGAGAAACGTCAGTTGGTTGCCTCCAGCATACCTCCTGACTGGGGATCGAGCCTGAAACCCTTTTTTATCTTCACCCAAGGAGTGAAGATATTTTTCCATTGATTTTTATTTTTTTTAGAGAGAGTGGAAGAGAGAGGGGAGAAGGAGAGAGAGGAGAGAGAGAAATGTCGATGCAACAGACATATGGATTGGGTGCCTCCTACATATGCCTGAATCAGACCTGCTACCCAGGTACATGCCTTTGACCAGGAATTGAACCCGAGACCCTCCAGTGTGCAGACCAACGCTCCAACCACTTAGCTATGCCTGCCGGGGCCAGAAACCTCTTTGATGTATTGGACAATGCTCCAACCAACTGAGCTACCCAGGCAGGGTTGGAAAAGGGACTTCTTATTTTTTTTAGCAAACCAGCTAAAGAAAAAACTTTTATAAGAAAGAGAACGTACCAGGTCCTGTGAGGTGTTTTTGTGTCCATACATGCTGGAGCGCCGGGTGTAACCACTGTCCCTTCCTTCATTCCTGTTCACGAGCCGTGCAGCAGCCTGGCACCCAGGGTCACTTGAGCGTTGGCTTCTAGAAGAGCCTGGAACTGCTTGAAGACCTAGAGCCCTGCGTGTTGGCTACGTTATGCTGCTAGAGTCTATAACACACAGTGATACTTCTGTTGGTTCAGTGGTATCTTTTTTTACTGACCTTTTTAAATACCATCTAAGTGGCATTAAAATTAAAAAAATAGAAACTCATTCATGAGTACTTGTTAGAACTAGTACATGAGTGTCATACTGCCACACCTCCCAGGTATTCTGAGTTTATACCAGCGCTGTTTTAGGTCAGATAATGATTCCCTATTGTTTTCTGTGCCTGAAATTAATTTGAGTATATTTCCTCGCTTGTTCTTATTGCTCCACTGACTGTTGGGTGACAGGTGGTATCAAATGAGACTTATTTCAGACTCTAGAAAATACCTTATGACAATATAGGTGGTGCTGCATGGTATTTGCTGTTAAAGTAAGAAACTCTGCAAACTGTTGGTTTGAGTTGTAATCAGGTCGGGTTATGTCCAGAGAACTTTTCCTCGTTTCACTCCTGTAAAACCTGAGCCTCTGGTTGCGCTGCGCTCTGCCTCTGAGAGGTGTCGTGACTGTTGGTCTTTTGGCAGATGCCGCATTTTCAGCAGCAGACAGAGAAGCCAGCCTGGAGCTGATTAAACTGGACATTTCTAGAACATTCCCTAACCTCTGCATTTTCCAGCAGGTAGGTGGTGGTGATTTGTTGCTTTTAAGTATGTTTGTCTAAAATTCACAGATGTCGAACTGCATATATTACAGTCAAATTTGAGAAGTACTTGGGTTTTTTAGGTGGAGGGGTCACAGGGGGAGGGTGGGTCTTAAGTTAAATTGAGACTTTTAAAAATAAGAGTAACTGATGCTTTCCAACAAATAGTTAATGGGGCCATAGTTCTGCTTCAAAGGCAGTTCTGTCCTTTCAAAGTTTATGTGTCAGAAGCCTCTCCAGGGCCCAGGAAGGCCCTTGTGTGGCCCCTCTGACAGTGTGGCCCTAGAGGCTGCTTTTGTTGTCAGAACTACATGCTTTGCTAAGTGCTCCAGCCTGGGGTAGAAGGGGAATCCTTGGCTGCCTTTGGGAGTAGTTAGGTGGGGTTTCTGAGCAGTTAGGCCAGCAGGTACACCACCAGGCACTGAGGCCAGTGTGGAGACAGGATAGAATGTTCTCTTTCGGGTGGCAGTGTAGAGAAAAGTGGTGGTTCCCGTGGGCCTGTGAGTACAGTACGGGGCTCGGCTGCCAGCAGCAGGCTCTGGAGGCATTGGGGCAAAGGTGTCTGAAGACCTCCTTCAGCCAGCAGACATTTACCTGGGGGTTTCTGACTCCTCCCTTGCCCAATGTATAATGGTTTCTGCCAGCTCTGCCTCTGACATATTTCTGAGTCTGTTCCTTAGCTGTTCTCACTGCCTTTACTTGGTTCAGATTCTCATCTTTGTGGATCACTGCACCTGCCTCCACCACATCCCCTGACCTCCTCCACCTCTGTCCAGTCCCCTCACAGCCTCCAGAGTAGCCTTGGAGTGCCTAGTCTGACTCGGTCATGCTTGTGTTTCTAGCACCAGAGGAAACCAGGAAGGGGTAGTGGAGTGAACTAGAATAGGTCAGTTAAGGGGCCAGTCAGCTAGAATGAGGCAGAAAATGTAGAGGTTTTACACTTGGGCTTTACAAAAATGTAGGTGTGTCCCAGGCACACTGACAGCACAGGAGTGAAGGTTCGCTGCCCTTGTGGTGCAGCATGGGGAAGGGTCAGAAATGGTGTCCCTGGGGAAGTGGCTCTCAGGCTGTGCTTGTACTAGATTTGAAAGACAATCTGCCAGAGAATGGAAAGACAGTCCTGGCAGAAGGACTAGAATGGAAGCATCAGACCACTGATGGGCCAGGGAATCCTGGTTCCTTCGGGAGAGAACCTTGCTAGAGGAACAGAGGCAGTGCAATTTAGTTCCATGTGCTCTCCTTCCAACTGGCTGCTCTCTGAGCTGGGAGCCCACTGCAGGCTGCTTCTGCTCTGGAGGGAAGAGTGGAAGGGCAGAGCTTTGGCTGAGAAGGGCATTCAGGGCACCGGGACTGGGTCCTGAGGGGCTGAGGCCTGTACAGCTAAGGTCCAGCCTTTCCTGCACCCAGGACCCAGACAGTCTCCTTCTTCATGGAGCATCTCTTGCAAACCAGCTTCATGGACTTTGGGAGTCACTGGGTGATTATCTTGGTGCGGAAAGAGGAGGAAGAGCAGCTTAGGGGTCTCTTTGGGGGACAGGAAAAATGGCTTTTCTCTTTCCCTCTGGGTTCCTTTGGGTATGCCCCCCTCAGTCTGTGGTTCCCAAAGTTCTAGATTTCATAAATGGGCAATATTAAAAAAACAAAGAGTGGGAAACAGCAAGATGTCCAGAACTAGTTAAGGGCATTTAAAATAAGGAGCTGTTGTCTACTACCACCCCATCTTCATCAAAGAAAGGACATTTAGTGCCAGAGGAAGACTTAATCTCAATGGTGGAAACCTGTTCAGTTGAAAACACTTAGTGTTAACAGTTCAGTACAGCACTCTGTATTTCTCATTTGGCCTTGGATCAGCTGTGACCTGGTGACAGTTGGTGAGGTCACCAGTCCTCAGGTGGGCATTTGGTGTTGCCACCGAGGCCCTGTCCTGTGCCCCCTCTCACCCTCTAGTCCTGGATGTTGTCTTTCTTACCTTCCCATTGCTGGGTTTTCCTCTTCGTCCCTCTGTGTTCTGGAAGTTTGTTTTCTTTCTGTGTCAGAATGCAGTGATTTGGGCCACATAGTCACCTGTGCAGTGCCTTCCTAGTCACGCACCATGTGTACTTTTTATTTCTCGTGTTAACTAGGCACATGGAAGGCGTGGACAGTAAGGGTTTGATCTGGACTGAGCCACCCTTTCACAGTGTGCGCAGGCACCGGCATCAGCGTGAGGCACCTTTCTTCCGTGCCCAACAAGGGAAAATACACTGTAGCACCTAGGTGTTTAGAAAGAGTTACAGGAACAAATGGAACTCGTGGCGGGGTGGGAGAGCCGGGAGGATGTTTGGAATAAAATGGAGGCTGTTAGGACTTAAGATTTAGAGAGTGTTTCCTAAACCTGCCATATCAAAAAGCACAGAAGCAAAGGCGGCGGTAGGCAGGGAATGGTCGGGTTGAGGGGCACAGCTGGGAGGCAGGGTCGGGACAGCAGTCAGCGCTGCCCTGCTCTGTGGGACCTTGGGGACCAGGCTGTCCGTAGGACTCTGAAGGGGATACAGTTATACAGCAGGAGCCAAACGGTGTTTTTCTGGCTCAGACCTGACCCACCAGCTTTCTCAGAGCAGCTTGGTAGATTGGCTGCAGACTCGCTTGCTAAGTGGATGGGTAGTTAATTCGTTAAGTTATGTGATACACGTGGAGCTGCTGGCCCCTGCTTGGCAACTGGCTCCTCTTCCGCGCACAGCGGCGTGGCGGCTCCTGAGCACTAATGAGACGTCTGCATGTGTCCTTTTGGTGTGTTGGTCCTTCCAGGGCGGCCCGTACCATGACATGCTGCACAGTATTTTGGGCGCTTATACTTGTTACCGACCGGATGTGGGCTATGTAAGTGAACTTTTTGATATTTTACCATGCTTATACATTTTACAGAGGAAGTCAGAATATTCCTGGAACATCTTAGCTGCAGGTGTCAAGTCGAATGCCCTCATTTCTGTTGAGTATGAGAAGTTTCATGGGCAATGAGCTACCTGTTTCCTTGTAAAGAAATTGACCAGACACAGCTGCCCTGTGAAATTTGTCACATTGTAATTTGATCTGGTTTTTTTTTTGCATGCGTTTTTCCCAGTATTAAATGAAGAAAAAGCCTTTAGCGCAGGGGTGGGGGACCTCTGGCCCACGAAATCACTTGGTCTGGCCCTGCCAAGGCAACCGCAGGCAGGACTCAAAATTCAATAAACCTAGGAGTTCTTCTCATAGCTAATTTTTAAGTTGATAGTTTTGAATGGCTGCTAATGATGTTATAAATATCTAAATGGCCCTTGGCAGAAAAAGGTTCCCCACCCCTGCAGCAGTAACTGTTTTAAAACTGCTGCTGCTGTGTGTGTGCACGGTCCAGGCATAGCACATCAAGTTAGACGCACATCTCCATGGCACCTGGCAGCTGCGTCTAGGGGCAGTGTCTCAGGGGCAGGTGCAGAAGGAGGGTCAGTGTGTGGTGTTCCATATGGACATGCGGGGGTAAGAGAGCAGACAAGGGGCTGATGTGGCTACGTAGGGCGTCCTGGTAAGAGCAGGTCAGGATCGAGGCTGGCAGCTCAGCTTTGGGGGGCGGCTGTGGGTGGGTGGCTTTTAGTAGCAAGGGCGTTTGGGTTCTTCTTGTCATGGGATGAAAGAGTTGCCTGGCCATGCGGCTGCTGTGAGTTTAACACCCCTCTCTCCTCCTTCAGGTTCAGGGCATGTCCTTTATTGCTGCGGTGTTGATCTTGAACTTAGATACTGCAGATGCCTTCATCGCTTTTTCTAACCTTTTGAATAAACCCTGTCAGATGGCGTTTTTCCGAGTGGACCATGGCCTTGTGAGTATCCCCTGTGTGTGCCGTGGTACAGTGTCTTCACACAGCAAGAACTGTCCAGTCAGCTGTCTTTTCAGTGGAAAAGAATACATTTTTGCCTCTATTTAGAGGGATTTAGAATAAGAGCACTTGGAGGGTATTTTGGGGATTGTGTTGAATTTTGAAAACACATGGTTATAGCCTTGTGTATGGATTTCTGAATACATTCTTTCAGGAAATGTTTCTGAAGATATATTCTCCACACAGGGAGGGGCTGGCTCCTGCACAAGCATGCACACCTTGTGTGGAGAGTAGTCTCTGCATGTGGGTCTGCCACAGAGAGCGTGGCGTAGTTGCACCATCTTGCTGCTGACTGTCATGCTGGGATGCTGCTCCATGCAGAGTGCTCACACAAGGGACAGGAGACATGTTAAGGGCAGCTGCTTTATGGACAACGGCAGCGGTGTGTTCAGTACACCGCTGAGGACACTTGGATCAATGGAGGGTCCCATTCACTCAGCTCCATCTTTGTGCTGAGCAGTGCGCACAAAACTGGCTGTGGTTGCCCTGGGAGCCCCTCACATGCTTCCAGAGGCAGGTCCTCTGTGTGGTGCTGATGGGGACACGAGGCTCCGAAATAACAGACCTATACCTGTTCATTGCTCAGGCAACACATACATTTTTTAAAAACTAAAAGTATTTTAAAACTGCTGCTAAGTGGGTGGCTGTTAAAGGAAGTATAAACTGGCAGAATCCTTTGTAAGAAATTTGGTGTTAAGTATCAGTAGCAGTAAATGGTGGTATGTAACTCTGCTTGTAGGAATCTAAGAAAGTCAAAGTGTGGACCAAGCATTATACACCAAGATGGTTGTCACACAATTGTTTATAATTATTTAATAATAATTACAAATTATATTTCAGTGTGAAAGTGAAAAGCTTTAAAAATGGGGTTTAGGGGAATACAGAACGGTTGATTGAAATCTGGTGATATATCCAGTGCAATAACAATGTTTGCAAGGAATCATACTATAGAAAAGTATTTAAGGTGAAATGCTAATTTTTCAAAAGTATGTAGAATAGAACATACACCACCATGGCTCCCATGTCTAACTGTAAAAGGACACACACCACAGCACTTACAGTGGTGATGAATGGTCTCGATTGTTCCTGAGATTCTTAAGTTTCTACAGTGGGCATTTGTGGATACTACTTTCACAGTCTGGAAAAAACTTTTCATATATAATAAAATTATTTATGTCTAAGTAGCTCCTAATTTTGAAGATTAAGACCCTAGCTTTCTCTTTGGCAACATATGCTAAAAACTGTACTTAGGAATGTTAGACTAATATGGAAAAATCATAGAATTGTAATGTTGAGTGGAACCTTCATTTATAGCAGGGTCTCTCAGCAGTAGTGGTGTTGACATTTGGGGCTGATGTCTATGGTGGGGGCTGTCCTGTGCATTGGACAGCATCTCTGACCTCTACTTGCTAGATGCCAGTAGCACTTCCCCCTAGCTATGACAACCAAAACCCCCCTCAGACATGGACAGATATCCCCTGGGAGGCAGAGTCCCCCCGTTGGGAACCTCTGGTTTACAGCATGACCGGCCGCCACTCATTAAGGTGAGCAGGCATCACCCAAGAGCCTTCACCTGCCCACATGCATCCTGCTTGCAAATGTGGAGCAGAACCGGGCCTCCTGCCTCTCGGCTAGTGTCACCCCATCCAGGGGCAGCTGCTGTGTCATACCACTCCTCTACGCTGTGCATTTGTTTCCCTACAGGCCCTGTAAGATACAGGCTGTGCAGGCTCTCTTCTCCTTGAGTGTCTCCTCCCTCACTGTGTTCGAAAGCTCAGGCAGTGTTGCCCGTGCCTGAGATATCAGTGTTGCATACCTGGGAAATGCTGGGGCTGGGAGTGAGGCGTGCATGTGTATCAGGCCATTTAGCCAGTCAATTCCTTCTGGCTTCTAGAAGAGATGAGCCTTAAAGACTCGGCCTTTGCAGTAGGACAGACACAGTCAGGTCCCAGCGACACACTAATGTGACATTATTGCATGTTATGTAACTGCTCTGGGTTTCAGCTTTCTTATCTAGGTAAGTTGGAGAAATAAGGTGTAGCTAGTGGTGTTACTGTGAAGTTTGGGGGTAGTGTTTACAAGCATACTTGAGCTACTGTGGGTTCAGTTCCCCACCACCACAGCAGAGCAGCATCTCAGCAAAGAGAGCCATGGAAGTTTGCTTTTCCAGTGCATATAAAATTGTTTTTACTGTGCTGCAGTTGGTTAAATGTACAGTAGCACTGTGTTTAAAGCACTGCACACCCTAGTTAAAGAATACTTCATTGCTAACACTTGCTAACCATCACCTGAGCCTGTTGGGAAAATGGCGTTGATGGACTTGCTCAACATAGGGCTGCCACCAGCTTTTGGTTGTAAACAGCAGTGTCTGTGAAGGCAGTGAAGTGGAGCGTGGCACACGAGGTGCACCTGCGTCAGACATGCCTGCGTGCACCGTGCCCCCCATTACCCGGCAGACTGTGTCCTTAGCAGTTGCATAGGGAGGCAGCTGTGGGATTCCAGTAGTAGAGGCATGTTGACTTGTTTTGTAGGTGGGAAATGTACTGGTGCTTAGTTTACTAGTGTATTCCATACTGTCTCCCCAGATGTTGACTTGTAGGGGGGAAACGTGGGCTGGCGCTTAGTTTATTAGTGCATTCCACACTGTCTCCCCAGATGTTGACTTATTTTGCTGCATTTGAGGTGTTCTTTGAAGAAAATTTACCAAAATTATTTGCTCATTTCAAGAAAAACAACTTAACTCCAGACATCTACCTAATTGATTGGTAAGTCTGCATTTTCATGTTTTCAGAGTGTTTTCTTATCTCCTGCCCCATTTTCCACTGTCCTCACGGCCAGCTTCCTTCAGGGCTCAGCTGCCCCCACCCTGCCCCACTGTCCCGCATGCCATCCGCCTCTGTTTTCCAGGCTCTGGCCCCGCAGTCATCCGCAGGCACTGTTAGCTCTTTTTTGTTACCATTGTGGCCCTAACTGATCATCTTGGACCTGTTTGCTTTCAAAGCACCATTTATCCTTTCATTAAATGAGATGTCACCAAACACCAGGTCTGTCTACTGGGCTCTTTGCTGGGATCTAGACATTGGTGGTGAGCAAGACACAGAGCTTGTCAGTCAGGAGCTCCTGTCTAGACGGAGACGTGCCCGTGGACAGATGGCTGTGTAGCGTGATAAGTGCTACCTCTGAAACGAGTTCTTGCTGGGAACGAGGGTTGGAGATTGGAGCTTGTAGCTGAAGCCGAAAGTCCTGGTGTCACTGGGAATAGTAAACATCAGATGAAGTGGCCCCTGGTAGGGAGGCTGTGGCCCGTCTGGCTGTGCCAGTGCAGTGCCTGCCTTAAAGCGCACCTTCGTTTAATAGAGGACTTCACACTGGGAACGCTCAGCTCCTGCATGGCTGTGCCTCTGCACCCCTACCAGTGCACCCACCCTGCTAATGTGATGGTGAACTCTGACCTTGAAGGTTCCTGGGGGAGGGTGTGAGGAGAGGGTCAGACAGGGCCAGAGCCTTCTGCTCCTCTGTATTTACTTTATGCCCCAAGTTAGATCCTTAGGATTTCAGGCTGCAGATGAAGTTTGGAAAACACAGTCCTGGAATAATGTCTTCAAACTTTTTCACCCTGCCTTGCAAAAGGAAGTAAATTCCATGTTGTGACCCAGCATGTGGCTGGCCATGTGTGCAGAAGCCTAATAGGTCAAAATGACTGACACAAGTTGCACAAGCAGTTCCTGGGTTTTACTGTGTGTGAAGCACTCTGCACTTTCCTGGTCTGTTCTGTGTGCGTAAAAAATGCCGGTGGTCATCCACTGTGAGTGATTGGCAGCTCACACCTGGCAGCGAGAGCGCTGTCCTGGAGGGCACCTGTCTGCTCTCGCTTCTCCATGTGTTCTCTCCTTTGCTGCTCTTGGCTTCAACCTGGTGCTTCCTGGCTCTTCCTTGGATTGGCCAGGTCTGCTCCTGCCTCAGAGCTCGAGTACTTGGATGCTTTCCAGACCCTTCCCTTGGCTCGTGGCTTCCTCTTCAGGGCTTTACGCAAATGTGACTTTTCAGTGACATGTCCTTCCCTGACCATCCTGTTTACAAGTGTGTGTATGTGCACTCACGTTTGCTCAGCGCTCCTGTACACCCTCATCACCAACGGCCAGCAGGCGCAGTCTTCAAAAATCCTGGATGACTGGCCGACCTGCATTGCACCGGGAGGGCTCAGCGCTCTCACGTTAGCGCAGAGCACGGTCACGCCTGGTTGTGTGAGGGCTGAGCACGTGGGCTCGGGCTCTGACTGCAGCAGTCTTGATTGCTCACGTGGGCTCGGCTTTATGACGTGCAGAATACCTACAGCTACTCTATTTTTCTGATCACTTTTCACTTGGTACTCTGCTTTTAAGACATAAAGGCTTGATTTCCATGAATAAATGGGCAGGAAGAGGTAGTATTGCCAATTAGGTCATTTTTTTTAAAAACACACTTTTATTTATTTTTTACTTACCTTATTTTTTAAATATATCTTTATTGATTTCAGAGAGAGGAAGGGAGAGGGGGGGAGAGAGAGAGAAACATCAATAAAGAGCGAGTCCTCACTGATGGGCTGTCTCCTGCACGCCCCTTACTGGGGGTTGAGCTCGAAACCCAGGCATGTGCCCTGACCTAGAATGAAACCCCAGACCTTTCGGTGCACGAGATGACACGCCAATGGAGCCACACTGGCCAGGGCATGATTATCACAATTTTCATTTTATCTTATTATTTTAAATATATCTTTATTGATTTCAGAGAGAGGAAAGGAGAGAGAGATAAAAACATCATGATGAGAGAGCCATTGATTAAGCCCGCAACCCGGGCATGTGCCCTGACCGGGAATCGAACCCCGATCACCTGGATCCTAGGCCGACGCTCAACCGCAGAGCCGCTCCCAGCCAATTTTTAAAGGGAATACATATTTGTATTTCATCTTTTCATCTGATGGTTTGCATTGTTAAGATCAGTTTCTTGTAATCCACGGTCAGATTTATTTGGAAAAACTTACTTTGTTCCTTTACTGAGCCTGCCCGGGAGAAAAGTTGCACAGTACTGTTCACATAGTGTACACATGGACCCCGGATTGTGAATTTCTGTTTATTTTCATTCCCTGCCAGACTCTAAGCTCTCTGCCTTATTAACCTCATACCCAGTTCCTACCAACAGAGTAAGCACAGAGTAGTGCTTGATAAATGTTTGTGGCATGTCGAAGTAACCGGTGTCAGTAATGACAAGTTGTGGTGTGTCTGAGATTCCGTGTGAAAGCCAGCCATGCTGTGTCCCACCATCCTCACATTGCCTTCCTTGGGCCCCCCACTCCGCCCCCATGTTTGTATCTAAGCAGGGAGTGGCTGCCTGGGGAGCATTTGTAGTGTAGCACACCTGAGTTCAGAGTTCCTTCTCTGTGCCACCCCACATCTGAACACCACCTTCTTTCCAGGATCTTTACCTTGTACAGCAAATCTCTGCCCCTCGACCTGGCCTGTCGCATATGGGACGTGTTCTGTCGTGACGGGGAGGAGTTCCTGTTCCGCACGGCCCTGGGCATCCTCAGGCTATTCGAGGACATCCTGACCCGGATGGACTTCATCCACATAGCCCAGTTCCTCACCAGGCTGCCTGAGGACCTGCCCGCAGAGGAGTTCTTTGCTTCCATAGCTGGGATTCAGATGCAAAGTCGAAACAAGAAGTGGGCTCAGGTAAGTGGATCTTTTGTTCCCTTTTTCCCCCTTGGAGATGGGACTCAGCAGTATAATTGAGGGAGTCCCTGATTCAGAGAACCCCTTGAGGATACAGTCCTCTGCACAGTGGTTCTTGCGCTGGAGACCTGGCTCCGAGGCTCGGCTCTGCCAGGGGTCTTGGGCAGTCATTCTTCTTCGGGTCTCTGCCAGTTGGGGGGCTGCGTAATAAAAGCCTGCCACCCTTTCTGCAGGGCACTGGGAGGTTAGAGCTTCTGGTTTGCCATCACGGTGCTCTCTGCATGGTAGATGGCATTTTGTAAACCAACCCCCCCCTTAAAAAAATGCCTGAGACAGAAAGTAAAGGGAACTAACACTCATGGAGCCCCACTCCCCCTGTGGAGGGTGGGAGGATGGCTTCGCAAAACGAAGGTCCTGCCCCAGCTTCCCTGGGTTGTGTTACTACCTTGACTTTCCAACATGCACAGTTACGGTCTGCTGACCTTCCTTCCATGTCACAGGTGCTTTCCCATGGCCACCCCTCCCCCTCCCACACACAACCTCGACACACAGCCACCCCCCCCATAAACACCCCCCCATATACACACTTTGTGCACACCCACTCTCACACACATACACACATAGACACACACACAGGGAAGGATTAAACCCATTTTGCTTCTTGTGCTTTAGGAACTAAATACAAATTACTGGTTAAAACTAGGTCAGAGTTTACTGGGCACTGTAAAATGGGCTAGTGATAGGGATTAGCTTGCTGGTGGGGGTCGGGGGAGCACCGTGGAGTTTCATACAGGCCCAGGCCAAGGCCCATGGGAATTTTGGCCTGTGCACCGTTCTAGAGGCTGTGCTTGAGCTGAAGACCCCTGAGCTTTACAAAGCAAGTAGATGTTTGTGTTTGGTTGCCAGTCCTGTTACTTAGAGGTGTGGGAGTTTTATCTCCCATTGGTCCTTCTGTGCAACCTATTTGAAACTTATGTAAATACTTCTGCTTTATCCCTGTAGTTTGTAATTGAAGTGGCATGGTGCTCACCTCTGGTGGATTAGCACAGGCGCTCCATGGATGCCCTGGGTTCAGAAATCAGACAAACCTGGGTTTGAACCCATATGGGCAGTTTGTCTTGGAGCAAGTCATATCTCCTCTGCCTAGGTGCCTTATGATGGGGTGTTAACCCTCCTGAGCTTATGCGGAGCAGACAGCGGCTGTGAGTGCCTGGTGGACAGAGAGCTCTGCTTGGCATAGAGGGGTGTTTGAGAACTGCAGCCATTGTCACTGTCGCTGCTGTTAAGCAGTCACAGCAGATGAAATATTTATTAAATGAAAGTGTTAACTAAGAGCTGGGAGAGCAGAGAGGAGGGAGCCCATCCCTTTGGGAAGCTCAGAAAGGAGCGGGAAGCCCAGCTTCAGCGGTGGGTAGTGTGGGGTGGATGTGAGGGAGAGCCTTGCAACCCATCTTGGTTGGCACTGTGGCTGCTGGGAGCGGTCTGGGGCACATTCGCCCAAGTGGCATGGTGGGTCTGCATGTCAGAAAGGTGTGTCTGGGTCCAGGTGTGCATGGTGGACCTCAGGAGCACAGAAGCAGGAGGTAGTCCTCACAGGAGCCCCTGGACCTGTGTTCAGTGTGTTGCGGGTCACCCACGGACGTCTTCCCTGTAATTCCCAGGTGCTGACTGCACTGCAGAGGGACAGCCGGGAAATGGAGAAAGGAAGCCCGTCGCTCAGACATTGAGGCAGCAGGTGGGCTCATGTTCAGCACCAGCGCAGATCTCCAAGCGCACCTGCATTGTTGGGATGGACACACTGGCAGCTGAGAACAGGGCCTGTTTTCCTGTTTGGTTCCTGATACTGGAGTTGGCCTTAAACAAAACAAACCAAACTTTTAAAGAATTAAACCAAGGCTTAGCCTTAAGCAGCTCAGTGGAATGATGACTTGGTATTGACATGGCAACCACTGCACTCTGCATGGTTTAAAAATAGGGCAGTGGCTCCCTCCCTTTATTCCAGCGAATGTGATTAAATTGCAATGCTTTTGTGTCAACTACTGGAAAGGACTGACAGTCTTTTTTAGCCGAGGTGCATGAGAAGTTGTTTGGGAGACCTCAGAGATGTTTTTGGCCCACAATTACCTATTCGATAAGAAAGAGATTGCTGACTTAGATATTAAGATAATCTTTCCAGAAACAGAGGTCCAGTTTTTAAAGCCCACCTACCAAATATGCATTAAGGCAAATGAGACTCAACCTGCCCTCGGGTTGTCGTCTTACCATGTTGCCTTGACACAGTCACAGCATGAGAGCTGAAAATGCACATGTAGGCCCAGTGGGAGCCCTAGCTCCCTAAGGTTGCCCCCCTGCACCTGTTGAGCAATGGAGGAAAGTTTGAGCAGGAAGAGCTGTGCACACAGAAGGCCCTGGGTAGCAGAGACAGCCCTGAAGCTGATGGAACAGTCTCCCTTTAAGTCAGAGCGGAGGGAGTGAGGGTGTTAAACCTGCTCTGCTCATTCTGTGCGGGTGCAGTCAGCACAGTGTGTATTTGGGGGCCTGCTCCTCTGTCCTGTCACCTCGACAGCAGCATCAGCCCTGAGTACCACTGTTTCCCTCCTTGAGCATTTGGCTTAAAGATAGACTGTCATGAGGATTGAAGCGAGCCACACATATCTAGTGGCCCAGACAGTCTTGACATGTTCTTAGTGTCCGTACTATCAGCCTTTTCATTCTAGCTGGTTACCCCAAGTTTGTTAGTACTTTTTTGTTCTAAATGAACTTTGAGAACTTTGTATTAAGAACTTTGGTTGTCCAAATTCAAATAAATGGTTTTTGCACAGAGTAGTCCAAAGGACCAGCACATCTCTATGAAAATAGGTTCCTACATGATAATCTGTGGGCATGTTGGTCTTTGGGTGTGGTGGGTAGACCAGGTTCCAGGGCGCCGGCAGCCACACGGTGCTGCACTGGAGTCTGGCCCTTGGCTTCAAGATTGTAGCCTGCAACTAGGAGACCTGGGCTAGGGGGTAAAGCCTGGCTATGGATATTATTTTTATAGGTTTCCTACGTCTGCCACGTCCGCTGATGGCACTTCCAGGTGTAGTAGCAAGCTGCCGGGCCTGCAGCCATCCTCACGCCCCCCCATCCCGGCTCTGTTCTGTGTGGCATTTTCCCCAGAATTGCCTTTGTTTCCTGATCTCCTTACTGCATTCTCCAGGGAGGCTGCCGAGCATCACAGAAACCACTTTCTGCCTCGACCTTAAATGTTGACTTGCCCGAGCTCTGGGATGAGGTCTTCCCTGAGGTCTGAGCTCCTTCCAGACACAGCTGGTCCCCGACGCCATGATGCTGAATGTAACCAGCCTGAGCCGTCCCCCATAGGTGTGCCCGTTTCCTTCTGTGACGTGGGCTTCCTGTTCCTGAAAGATGTCTTTTCTTAACGTCCATAAGGATGCTCCTAAGTCCTGACAGAAAGTGGTGCAGCCGGGGGGTTCGCGCCCTTCAGGACGCACTTGTGCATTCAGACCCAGCCCTGAATGATCTTTGTCGGGTTGACACCGCTTTGGATAGCACCAAGTTGCATTTAAGTTTTTAAACAGGATTCCATGTCATCTGAGTACTTACATCTCTAGTTCAAGTTTTCATGACCTGTTCAGGGGCCGGGAAGTTCTCAACCCCATATGGCCCCTCTCCACAGAGGGCTGCTTGGGAGCACAGGGCTGTGCCTCTCTGTCAACTAGGAAAACTGGAAACAAACTGCGAGGTAACACCACCCCTTGGGAGGCCCACACCTCCTGCTCCCTGGCTTCCACCTCTGCAGCTGCATCAGGCAAAAGCTGCTGCCCGCCAGGCCTCGGAATCTCTAGAAACAAGTTCACTTTAAAAGACACTTTGTATCTGCTCAGTTTTGACTATTTTAAATAGTTTGCCGACAGGAAACTCCTGGTAACACTTGCTACATATCATGTGTTAATTGCCTGTACAGTTAACCTTTAATCTTATTTAGTGAAGTGTATCAAATTAGGACTTTTTGAATTGTAAATATATGGTTTTATTAAATAAAAGTCATGTAAAATTGTTGCTTATTTTCACTGTAGTTTGGTTTAAAATTGAAGTTCTCACCTTGAAGTATGGAGGTACTGGACTTGGAATATTATGCTGTTTCAGTATTTTAAGGTTCACTTAATAGGATCAGTGAGATCAGAAGGATGGTACAAGGGGTTTGAGAGTTTAGTGCACCCCTCCCAAGCTGAAGGGGAGCCCCAGAGTGGCTGCTCCCCTCAAACTTGACTCTGGCACCAGCTGTAGCCCTTTCCCCCCACCCCCACGTCTGCCACTCACCTGCCTCCACTTCTGCCCTGCCGCCTAGCCCACCAGGTCGTTTTTTCTTTAGGGCCAGCCGCTGGGCTCTTCCCACTCCCCCTGAGAATCCTGCTCAGAGCCTTGTCAGCCAGGTGCTGACCTCCAGCTCTCCTACCTGCCAGTAGGGGACCCTGGCTTTTCCCTGGGCCAGAGTGGGCCTTGGCTCCCATCTGTGGAGCTGAGATCAGTAATCCTGCCCTATTAAAGTGGTGGCTGAAGGGATCATCTGGATCACCAGGCAGCACAAATGCTCCCGTAGGTCACAGGGTGGTTCCTGTCGGGCCAGCTACTCAGGCCAAGAACTGGAGGCTCAGGAGGGAGCCCTCGGCTGCTCTTGCTCTTATACTTGTCCTACCTGTCATAGATGCTGCCACCCTCCTGTTCGCCCCCTGCATCACCCTGGGCCTGTCCTGGGGAACTGTGGCCCCTGTGCCGAGACTTCTCGCCCGTCCTCCCAGACACACAGCAGCTCAGGGGCATCTGCTCCCATGTCTTCGGCCCACACTGTGCCGAACTCACCTCACAGCCTTCCTCACCGGTGAATGGCTTGGCCTCCCTGGCTGCCGTTGTCTCCATTCTGTACAGGCTGTGGGGTGAGTGGACTGGTGGTCACCATTGACAGTCACGCCACTGGAGTCTCCACCCATGCCAGGCCCTGGGGTAGGTGCTCTGAATGACCTCATTTTATCTCCACAGCTGCGGTCATTGTCCCCATTTCAAAGGTGTGACTCAAGTGATCTGCTGGGGCTCCTGCATCCAGTGCGTGGCAGGGCTGGGTTTGGACTCGGTCTGTGGCTCCCAAGCCCCTGTGCAGAAACAGCTCTCCCCAGAGAGCACACTGCGCCGGGGCCTTGCGCAGCCTGTCTCCTCTAGCTGACCTCTGGTCCACGAGCAGGATGTGGGGTGAGGCCTGGAGTCACTTGCTCCCCTGAGCCCCTCCTGTGTGTGAGGCATCACACCCTGGGAAGCAGGCCCAGCTCTCCAGGTGGCCAGCTCCTAGGGGTGGGCTTCAGGGACGCACAGGAGCAGTTGGGGGTAGAAGTTGTAGAATGTTTTTGACAACCAAGTGTAACAGGGTGGGGGGAGTGGGGGGATGGGACTGCCAGTCCGAAAGCTACCACCTGAAGTGTGGAGCCTGCCACGAAGACAAGACAGTGGGGGAAAAAGACACTGCACCAGCATGACACCAAGGCGGACCTAGAGATGAGCTGCTGGTCACCAGGTGGAGCAGTGGAAGGGTACCTCCAGGTGCACTGGCAGATGGAAGATGGAAGTCTTAGGGCCAAAGCAAGTCCTCAGATGGGCCACGTGAAGCCCCAGAGCACTACCCGCCTACCCAGGAACTCGGCCATGACCTCGGGTCCCAGGGATTTCTGAGGCCTGCAGTGCTGTCTAGCTCACATTTTGCTCCGGGCTCCTCCGTGAGCACCTCAAGCTCGCTCTAGGACAGAGCTACTCCACTGGGCACGGCCACGGCCACGCTTAGGCCTCACCTTCCCAGGATGCCTGAGCCCTAGGAGGTTCCCTGTGGTTGGAGGGGCAGTGGCCTTCGCCCTGAACAACACAATAAAGTAAGTTACCCCCGGCTGACCCCAGAGGCTCAGCAGTTTTTCTCAAACTGCTCCAATAAAAAATAAACCCGCCTTTAAGGCACAGTTTAGCCAAAGGTTAGGAACAGAACTGAAATTCTCTAAGCCGTGTTCCGTTTCTGTGACCGAGGTTAAAAAGGGTACCTGGCACCTTTTTTTTTTTTTAAGTAAAAGTTTTTTCCCCCCATGTCCATGAGTTCTTTTTCTTTTTTGCTCAGTCCCTCTACGCCCCTTGACAGCTGTCGGCCTGCTCTCCAGCTACGAGTCCTTTGCTTATTGGTTCAGCGCGTTCGTCAGATTCCACGTATGAGTAAGATGATGTGGTGCTCGTCTTTCTCTCCCTGGCTTATTTCACTCAGCATGATGCTCTCCAGGTCCATCCCTGCTGTTGCAAAGGGTAAGATTTTGTTGTTTTTTTACAGCTGCGCAGTGTCCACCCTGTGAATGCCTCGCAGCTTTTCTATCCGTCATCTGCTGATGGGCACTTGGGCTGCTTCCAGATCTCAGCTATTGTAACGCTGCAGTGAACATAGGGGCGCATGTATTCTTTCGAATTAGTGTTCTGGGATTCTTTGGATATATTCCCATAAGTGGAATCGCTGGGTCACAAGGCAGGTGCAGTTTTAATTTTTCGAGGAAGCTCCATCTGCCTTCCAGCGGCGCAGGAGGGCCCCTTTCTCCACACCCTCGCCAGCTGACGATAGCCATTCTGACAGGAGTGAGGTGATGTCTCATTTAGACTCACTCTCTTGACATGCAGACTTTTAGTATCTTCCCTCTTGGTGAACTTAGGAATTTTTAAAAATCAAGATCCCCCCCTCACCCCCCAGATGTTCATTGTATAAAATTTGTAAATTACAGAAAAGCACAAAGAAAATAAAAATCATAATTTCACCACCCAGAAGAGAGATACTTTCCCCCCTATTTTATGAGTGAGTACATTGAGGCCCCGAGGGGTGCAGTGTTTGTCCCAGGTGGTATCACAAGAGAACTGAACCCAGGCCAGCCTGGTTCCAGAGCCTGTTCCCAAGCACCACTCTCCTCCTAGTACACCTCTGTCTCCGTCCTCTGGGTGAAACATGGGACTTCATCCATGGAAATATTGGGGATGGTGTAAATTGATTAAAACATGTCCATACTTAAAATCACTGGTTATTTTAAAAAAAACACACTAGAGGACCCTTTGAAAGGAATATTACACGGGAAGTCAGACACCCGAGCTTCAGCGCTGCCCTTCCCGCCTGCCGGTCCTGGCTCCGGCTAGCTTCCAACATGTCCTCTCTCCAGGGCCAAGTCCCCTGGAGTCCTTGCCATCACTCTGACATTGACTTTCTGCAGGTTTAAAACAAAAAGCACAAATTGGGGTGCATTATCTCCAATATTATTTTAGGGACAGGCACCCCCAATCAGTAGTGAAATCTAAATTATGGCTGCAGATGTACAAAAAACACCCCAAAAAACATGTATTTCCACTTATATCATAAAAAAATCCCAGATGTGGTAAGTCACCAAAAATGACTCTTGTTTACTGATGAGAAAGCATGTCCCCTTCAGGTGCCTGGCCAGAGCTGCTGAAACAGACCGCCCCCCGAACACTGAAGGGGACGCTTCCCACTCAGGCCTGTTTTCAGAAGTCTAGTTTCATATAACAGCTCACTCAGATTTTACTGTGCCTGTGATTTTCAGGCCCTGAACTTTTTGACAGAGATGAAAAAAAAAATCTTCCGCTTTTGATTTTGGCATTCATGAAAACAATCTTCATTTGAGAGGTTTCCGGTCCTAGAACAGACGCTCTGAATCTGCAGGGTCGTCCTCCCGTGATGACAAGCCTGCCTCCGTCACTTCGCTCACTGGTTCTACTCCTTGAGGAACCCTCTTTCTGCCTGTGGTTATTTTTGAATCCAGCGTAGGAATGATCAGTGCCTGACACGTATAACAGGCATTCAAGTAACACTGATGTTCAGGAAATGAGACTGGCATATTAATGTATTTGACAAACTTACTGAGCACCAATTATACGTTAGGCTCTGTGCTGGTTACCAGGGGGGATGAGAAACCAAAGGTCCTCGCCTTCCGGGCCTTTGTCTCATGGGGTACAGAGCGCTAAGCAGACGGCCACAAATGGGTGTGTCAAAGGCTGGCATGGGGCTCAATGCGTCAGACTGGGGGAGGGTGCTTTAGGGCCTGTGGATGCTTCCTCAAGGCAGGCTGTCTAAAACCACCTGTGAGCCGGGGCCATTTCACAATGAGCTCTCCTATAATCAGAAACAACCTTGTTATGAAGCCATCAAGATTTCCTTCCAATTAACTAACATTGTAGTGTGCAGCAACAGAATTTGAAGAGCAGTTGCCCCTTAAAGCAATGCCAGCCTCTTGTTCCTTTTGTATCTTTGTGCTCTCGGAGACCTGCTTGCTGAGGTCAAGGCCAATGAGGAAGTGTTTGGTCGACCTGGATAATAGCCAGTGGGTCAGAATCAGCAGAAGGTCCCTTTTCTCCCTCTCGGGAACCAAAGGGATGAGCACCTAGAAAAGCCGCTGGCTTGGGAAAGGCACCAAGCATACGGGTCGTTCCACTTTGAAGTCTCCCCAACCACAGAAGAACCCAGTGCTGCTTTTCGTTTGAGGCTCCAAGAAGAGAATGTTTTATTTACCAGCGATTTACTACTTCACACTGGCCTCGATGAACAGGTAGAGGAAACACAAACACTGCCGAGGACAGGGAGAATGGAAGTAGGACGTCAAAGCTCTCTACTCCCTTCTGGTTGGGTTTATTATTATAAAAAGGGTATTCAAGATGTGGGCTGAAAAGAGGAGTTTTAATCAACCTTTACTGCCATCAAAGGAAACACACTTTAGGAAACAAAAGTATCGAAATAACATTATTGTGACATTCTCAGGACCAGTGGAGTCATCTGCCTAGAGTGGGGTTTCTGCCATTCTTAAGAGGTACTTAGCACCAAAAAACAGATCACCCTTTTTGTGATCCACTTAAGGTTGGGGATGGGAGAATGCTTTTAATCCCAAATCCACACATCTCGAAATTTAACCTAAGATTAAGAAGATATAAAACCAAACCCCTAGCTCCAAAAACATTAAAAAACACACACCCTGAAAATGTTAATCACCGATTCTGAATTAAGGAGATAGACCTATCAGCTATTTCTTACATTAACGCAAGGAATAACAGGCGTTTTAGTATCAGATGCAGAGTGAAATCACGTGCAGAGTGAGGGCCTGTTGCCTTGCTGAGAACAAAAGGCTTATGGGCAGTCAGCAGTCACCACTCCGTATATATTGCACCTGGCAAAACACAACTGCCACTGTCTTCACTAGAAAACAAAATTGCATTTATTGGTCGAGATCAGTGCGTTCCCTTAGAGGATCCAAGAAAACGTCTCATTAGATTTGAAGACTGTCACTGAGGCAGAAACAAACGTCAGGGGCTCCGCGGCCTGAGCCTCCTGTCCCTGCGCAGGGAGGAGGGAGGACACGGGCTCCCCTCCTGCTGATCACTCCCCCCTTCCGGAGGGTGCTGCAGGAGGCTGCTTACACCCAAAGCACCGTCAGGGTCACCTCAGGGAACAGCGAGCTTGGAGCGAGACAGGCTCGGGACCACGCGGGTTAGTACGTCAGAGATTTAATAATTGGCACAGGAATGGGGGATGCCCTGCCCCTGGCTGAACCCTCCCGCACGTGGAAGGGGACAGTTCTCAGCTGCTCAGGTGCAGGGTGGCGTTCGGCAGCTTTTCATGAGATCAGGCACGTCGGCCGCCGTTTCTCGACCTATCTCACTTCGCCCCACCTAACACGCTGCTGACCCAGTTTTGAGCTCCGCGCCCATCTGGAAGCTGAGGATGTGAGGGAAGCACGAGATGCGAGGCTTCTAAGGAGGGGCAAGAGGAGGGCAAGGCGAGGAAGGGCGGTGGCGGTGGCGGTGGCCTGGCAGCCCGTCAGGGCGGCAGGAAGGCCTTGGCCTCGCGGATCTTCTGCCTCACGCCCCTGCAGGACAGCAGCAGCCCCGCGTGGTGGCGCTGCAGCGACTCCAGGCGCTCGGTCAGCAGCGCCGTCTTGCGGACCTTGTCTTCCATGTCCCGCAGGAGCGCCTCCTTGCCCAGAAGCCCGCACTTCTGGTTCAGCCTGATGTTGTCAGCCCGCAGACTGTCCCGAGCCTTCTTGGTCTTGGTCAAGATGTCCCGCCTGAGGGCCACCTGGACCTCGGCGTCCAGAAGCTGGGACTTCTTGCCTGCGTTCTCGATGTCCACAAAGTGCAGCTTCTCCTTCACGTGGGTAATGATCTGCACGCTGGCGTTCACCTTGCTCTGCAGCTTCAGGAGCTCCTCGTTGCGCTCCTCCACCTTCTCGTTGAAGGTCTGGTTCTCGATCTTGAGCTGCTCGAAGTCGATGAGCAGCAGGCCCTGGGTCATGTCCTCCTGCGCCCTCATCCTGGTCTCGAAGTGCGCCAGGCTCTGCTTCAGCTGCACGTTCTCCAGCCGCACGGCGCTCATCTCCTTCTCCTTCCGGTCCTCCAGCGCCTGGATCTGCTCCACCTCCCGGAGGGCCGCCTGGCGGCCGCCGCGCATCCAGCCGCTGCCCATGGCCTGCATGGCCACGTGCTTCTTGAGCGCCTGGAAGGCCCGCCACTCCTTCTCCACCCGGGCCAGCTTCTCCCTGCACTGCTGCTTCAGCTGGCCCAGCTCCTGGTGGTACCAGCCCAGGTCGTCGGCCTGCTGCTTCCTCAGCTCCTCCAGCACGGCCAGGTAGCTGAGGTACGCCTCCTCCTTCTCGGGGGCCTCGGGCTCCGCCTCGCGCTCGGGCACCTCGGCCGCGTCCAGGCCCTTCTTCTTGCGCAGCGACTCGAAGATCTTGCGCTGCAGGTACATGTTGTAGCGCTGGTAGTGGCTGCGCTCCACCATCAGGGCGCGGTACTGGTCCAGGAGCTCCGAGCGCAGCTGCTGCTCCTGCTGCTTCCGCACCTCCTCGGTCCACTCCGCGTCCACCTTGAGCACCACCTCCGACGGCCCCTCCCCGAGCGCGCCCGCCCCCGCGCTCCGCCTCTGGCTCTCCTTGCTCCCCGCCTCGTCCTCCAGCCCCTCCCGGGCCTCCTCCTGGCGCGGCATGGACCGCGGCAGGGCGATCCGCAGCCGGGCCTTCTTCCTCCGCGCCTCCTCCGGGGCCTTCTCTTCCTCCTCCGGCGCCTCTTCCCTCTCCCCATTCTCCGGTTCCTCGGGCCTGCCTTCGGGCCACGGCGTGGCTGGCTCCTCGGGCCC